TTTTTATAAAATTATATTGTAAAACAAGGAAATTATTTTGTCTATTTATATTATTTTTTAACACTAAATCGAAAATTGTATAAATAAATCTATAATATCAAGCATTTTTAGAGGTTAGAGCTTATTTTATGTACTTTTACAAGTATTCCGTGTAAATTATATTTCATTACACAAAAAGTTTTCTATGAAAGTAGATACAACTGTTAAAGATATGGATATAGTGAGTTTTTTAAGATTATATATAATATAGATTATAGAAAGTATTTACTTTGTTCAATTTTAAAATTGCATTAGATTAATTTACTTATATTTTATATGTGGGGGGGTATGACAATGAGGCCTATGGGGTATTATATTAGTCTATGAATGGGCTTCACATATTGTATAGGATAGTTGACAACATTTTCTGTGGACTAGAACAATGTTTAAAACTATTTACAACAAAGTAGATAAATCATACATTTAAAGGAAATAACTTTTTTGGGTGGGGGGGGGGTACAGGAGGGCGGTTAAAATATGTTGCCCCGGGGCGTAAAATGTCCAAATACGGCCCTGACAATCAGATGCAATGGAGTGGGGTGATGACGGTAATGACGAAGAGTTGAATGTACATATGGACACATACGAAGGGTGGGGTAGCGATTATGGAGAAACTAATGAATTAATCTTGAAAAATATTAAATAATATGTGAATATTATTATTTTTTTTCAATATACATTTTATTTTTACATTCTCATATATTTGTATTCTTTATTAATTATTATTATTATTATTATTATTATTATTATTTTATCGTTAGCTTGTAGTATTTACCGGAGAAACATATGCTCGCATTTCTTGGTATGTTAGGAACTATTTTTTTTTTTTGAGGCTTCATATATCGAACGAGCAATATACAAGAAGCGTCTAATAATTCAATATCTATTAAGTAACATATGGTCGCTTTTCTTGGTATGTCAGTAACTATTTTTATAAGGCTTCTTCGAGTGACCGACAGAGAAATATGTATAGAGTGGATGGGACGAAAATCTATCGTCAGATAGTGCTATAACAGCGCTGAAAATAAACTACTATTGTTGGAGACCACACACGTAGCCAACCTTACTAACACAACAACAATATTTTCTAGGGAAAATGTTGTCAAAAATAATTGAACACAATACTCAAATCACAGATGTAACAGAGGTAATGTCCAAATAATATTTTAGTTATACATGGCTTAAAATATTACCACCTCCAAAAATGCTGGAGATGTACGGTCGCTCGGTACCATGGACCGTCTTGCCCTGATGATCGGTCAGTGTGTGTCCCCAGTCTCTTGTTCGGTATACACACATTTCACGATCGATATACCTCCTGACTATTAGTCTTCAAATCCGTGATTTTTTCAAAGTGTTTAACATTCTCATTTTAATAAGTATATTAGCTTATTAGTATATTTGTATATTAGTATACTAGTTGTTCTTTAAAAATATAATATGTTTAATTGTGGTAAGTGTCCTGCGTCTTTTAATCGTAAGTGTAATTTGATTAGACATGAAAAAAGACATGATGCAGTTCGGCTCTCTTGTCCATTGTGTAATTCAACATTTAGTGACAAGTCTAACTTGTCACGGCACAAGAAAGTCATTCATGGTATGTATAATACATCACTGATATTTTACATTTTTATAAAGTTTATTTTTTTTTTAATTTTTTTTTATTTTTTATTTTATTTTAGGTATTACTTGTGTCCCTTCAGTTCGACACGCTCCGCAAGTCTGTGCGTCCAACAATGAAGGTAAATCAAGTTGTCCTAGAGCCGCTAAACGTGGATATATCGAAGTTGCACCGCAAATATTTATACCTAACAGTCAAGCTGGACCATCTAACAGTCGACAAGTCAATCAAGCTGAATCACAGAACAGTCAGAAAATCATACATTCAAATGATCAGTGGTATGATGACGCGGAGGATGAAATGTGTTTAAAAGTGTTGAACGATGCTCAAAGTGCTGGGCTATGCGAAGTGGAAGGTAAGATTTATCATAATAATATTATACATGGGTCTTGTTAAGTTTTTTTTTTTTTTTACAACGTAATTTTTATTCATTTTCAATATAAGTTACAATTTAAACTTAACAGGTTAAACTATTTTTATTATCTTGGATATGGTAACGAAAATATTTTATATTCAGATTTAATTTATTAGATATTAAATAGTTTTTTTACAACGTAATTTTTATTCATTTTCAATATAAGTTACAATTTAAACTTATCAGGTTAAACTATTTTTATTATCTTGGATATGGTAACGAAAATATTTTATATTCAGATTTAATTTATTAAATATTAAATAGTTTTTTTTTTTTTAGATCATTATTGTATGATAGGTAAAAACCGTGTTCATAGGGAAAATACAATAAAGGCTCGTAATTTTAAGAAAGCACGTATGGATATGGTTAAGACAAGCGGATTCATTGAAACTAGCTCGTCACACAAACGACTTGCTATTCATTATTTCGCGAAAAATTTAAATAATATTCAAAACTTTCCTAAATTTCTTTCTTCAATAAAATCTGACCTAGAAAAAATATTAAAATCATCGCTTGAGAAAAATCCTATTAAATTTAATCTTAAGCTGGAGGGTACATACAGAAGGCCTAACGTAGAAAATTCATCAGAAAACAGATCGTTTGTGTGCCCTGCCAAAGCACTATACGCAGAGAGTGATTTGGTCGAAAAAATAGAACAAACGTTTACCACGTTACTTGAGCAAGAAGAAGTGTATTTGTCAAGAGGAAGTGGTTTTATTCTAGAAACAGTAGACGGGCTAATATTGACGGTGTTAAGGTATACGCCAATGGTTGGTTCATCATATGTACAACCCCCCGTAGCTAATTATGATGATGATGATGATGATGATGATGAAAATGTTGACGGTAATAATGATGGTGTAAATATTGATATTAATAATGACGGTGTAAATGTTGACGGTAATAATGACGATGTAAATGTTGATGATAATAATATAGATAATCCACAAATTATAAATTATAATAAAACATTTAACCCTGAAGCTGGGTCATCATATTTACCGTTGCCAGCTATGATTGATAATAAAAATGGTACAATTAATCCCCAAAATAATGACCGCAAATGTTTTAAGTGGTGCGTTTTAGCAAAACACGTAACGGGTATAAATAAGTATTATATTAGTAATAATTATTATATACATGAAAATAAATATGACTTCACTGGTCTTACATTTCCGACACCTTTGTCTGACGTTAAGATATTCGAGGGTAAAAATCAGAATGTGTCTATAAATGTTTATGGAATTGAAAAAAAATTTAACTCAGCATCAAATTCTGTATCACATATTATTTTTCCATTAAAAGTCGTAGATGAGGAGAAAGCTGATCATATCGACTTACTATTTATTACCGACAAAGAAGATTACCATTATATATATATCAGCAATTTTTCCAGACTTATACGAGCACAAAAAACTAACCATAAACAGAGTGTTATATTTTGTAAGCGATGTTTCACGTCATTTGACGATAGATCACTAAAACATAAATTGAGTGGACAGGCGGCGCTGAATGAGCATAAACTCATCTGTGAATCACATAAGGCTATATTCCCAATATTGCCGGAGGTGGGGGATTGTACAGAATTTAAATCATGGGGTAATACACATAGGCATCCTTTTGTGATTTATGCCGACTTTGAAGCGATCCTAGCGAAGACTGATGAGGCGAAAGGTAAAAATACTACTACCATACATAAGCACGTTCCCATGAGTTATGGGTTTATAGTGAAGGTATCCGACGACGTACCCATAGAGCTGCTGGAACAATATAATATACCGACGACACCTATTATATACCGTGGTAGTGAAAGTAGGCAGGATGTGGCTCGACGTTTTGTAGCTGAGATTGTGGATATTAGTAGACGGGTGGAAAAATTATTGGAGACTAATATTCCAATAAATATGACTGAGGACGACACACGTAGACATAATGCGGATAAGTTATGTAATTTATGTAAAGAAAGTTTCGCAACTGTTGGTAAAGTCCGAGACCACTGTCATCTTACCGGTAAATTTAGGCAATCACTTTGTTATAAATGCAATTTAGATTTGAAACAGCCGAAATTTGTCCCGTGCTTTCTACATAACTTATCTAATTATGATGCTCATTTTATTGTAACGGAACTTGCATATGACGCAAGTAAGATAGATGTCATACCAAACAGCGTAGAAAAATATATATCGTTTTCCAAATATATATCCAAAACATTTATCATCCGGTTCATAGATACGTTTAGATTTATGGCTTCAAAATTATCAACACTAGCCACAAACCTAATAACACCAAACTTGGAAAAATTCCGCGAGTCATCAAAATATTTTGCAGTAGATGACATGACACTAGTGACTAGAAAGGGGGTATATCCATATGAGTATACGGACGGATGGGGCAAATTGGAGGAAAATACGTTACCGGAGAAAAAAGATTTTTATAGTGCATTAACTGAGTCAGGGATTGAGGATGATGAATATGATCACGCGGTGAAAGTGTGGGGTCACTTTGGTTGTGAGACATTAGGCCAATATTCTGATTTATACCTGAAAATTGATGTACTACTACTAGCAGATATTTTTGAAAATTTCCGCGATCTTTGTATGAGTACATATGGTTTGGATCCTGCATATTACTATACAGCCCCGGGTATGGCGTTTCACTGCATGTTGAAGAAAACTATGATCAAATTGGAATTACTGACTGATTACAGCATGCTTCTTCTATTCGAAAAAGGTTTAAAAAAAAAAAAAGTTTAAAAGTTTTTTATAAATTTTTGTTTTTTTTTTTTGTTTAGGTATACGAGGTGGCCTGGTACAAGCAAGTATGCGGTATGCAACGGCAAATAATGAAGAGGTTACCGATTATGATGATACCAAGCCTAAATCATGGTTGATCTATCAGGATTGTAATAATTTATATGGATATGCAATGTGTGAATCCATGCCCTATGGCGGGTTTAAATGGGTAGAGCCCACACTTAAAGGGTTGAATGATTTGGATGATTCATCTCCTATAGGTAGGATTTACGAGGTCGACGTGACATATCCAGATAAACTTCACGATCTACATAGTGACCTTCCATTCCTTCCGCAAAATTCCATACCCACAGGCTCTAAAGTTCAAAAACTGATGGCGACATTTGAGACGAAGAAAAAATATGTTATTCACTATAGGAATCTACAACAGGCCATTAAAAATGGTCTTATAGTTGAAAGAGTATATATATATATTTTTTTTAAATTCAAGTTTCAATAACATATTTTTTTTTTTTTTAGGTACATAGAGTGGTACAGTTTAAACAATCGCCCTGGCTCTCGGAGTATATTACAATGAATACCAAAATGAGAATTAAAGCAACGAACGACTTCGAGATAATGTTTTTTAAACTAATGAATAATGCCGTATATGGTTTGTTAAAATTTTTAATTTTAGTTTTTTTTTTTTTTTTTATATATATTGTCGTTGTTTCATAAGGCAAGACCATGGAATGTGTAAGACATAGGATTAAGATGGAATTAGTGTCTTGTACTCGGCGATTTCAAAAATTAGTAAATAAGCCGACAATTAAATATATGACATCGTATAATGAAGATTTATCGGCAGTTTCTATGGCTAATACAATTATAAAATTCGATAAGCCTATTTATATTGGTAAATATTTACACTAAAAATTTCACATTAATACATTAATTTTTATATTTTATTTTTATATATATAGGTTTTTCAGTATTAGACATTAGTAAAACTTTAATGTATGACTATCACTACAATGTCATGAAGAAACATTATAATGAAAATATAAGGCTTATGTATACTGACACAGGTAAATATAATGAAATTGGTCTTGTATTAATATATATTAATTAATAAATATTATTTTAGATTCATTGATATACTATATTCTGACGGATGACTTTTACGATGACGTGAAGAACAATCCAAACCTATTGGAACGGATGGATACGGCTAATCTACCACAGGATCACCCATGTTATGTTGCGGAACGTTCTAAAGTCCCTGGATACTTTTCTGACGAAATAAATGGACTTGTAATGTCAGCTTTCTGTGCGCTCCGAGCAAAATCATATGCTTATAAAATCGAGGGCAGAAAATCTATCGGGGTAATTCCGGCCATTAAACCGAAAGAAGAGGTAAGGGCGAAGGGTATTAGAAAACATGTGGTTGATAACCATATGACGTTCGAAGACCATCGCAAGTGTTTGTTTGGTGAGATGGTTAAAGAAACATACAAACAGTTTAACGTATCCATACGTTCGTTCAATCATAAATTAACAACTATTCGATCCAACAAACTAACATACAATAGTTACGACGATAAGCGGGTTATACTCGATGATAAAATAAACACATTGACTCACGGTCACTATAGTACAAAGTAACTTTTAAAATAATTATATTATTTTGATTTGTTTTATTTATTTATTTATTTTTTTCAGGGGGTCTGAAGAGGTAGAGCGATTGGATTTAGAGTTGATTGCAATGATGGTTGATGGTGGATACTAAGTTTTAAATATACTATGATGATTATTATTGTTTTTTTTTTTTGATTATTTTTACTATTACATATTTATTAAATTATTATTATTATTATTATCATATATATAAATAATCTGCAAATAACCTGAAAGTATAGTAATTTTACCATTCCATGAAAAATACTTAATATCTGTAAATAATTAATATTTGTAAATACATTGTAAATATCTTGCATAAATCATTTAACAATTTCTGAAAATATTATGTTTATATACTTTTTTATAAATGATATTAAGACTTAATAATATATTTAATCATGTTTTTATTTTTTTTTTCTACTTCAGATCAAAGGAAGTAAATATTAGTATACATATATATAATTTAAAGTGTTGTAAATGTTACCATATATAAATGTATGCATATATGTATATTAAAATGTATATATAAAAAAAAAAAACAATGTTAAAATATAATAATATCATATTTATTTAATATTTTTTTAACAATTATTTATAAACCATTTCCTTATAGCAAATACTTTATAGAATGTACACTGTTTTGGATTAAATTCCATATGAAAAATACAGCAGGGTAGAGTATCTTCATCACATATTTGGTCCAAGCGTGGGCATCCGAGGTCTTCAATGTTGATTAGTGTAACATGAGGTATAAATCCTGTAAGCAGCTGTTTTTTCTGTTCACCTTTGACGTAAATGCATGTAAACTTTAATGAATTCAAAATTCTATTTAGTTCTTCATACTCTACATCACCATATTCTATAGTTAGTTTATGATAGTTACGTTCCAACCACTTGTTAGTTTTTCGACTCTTGTTGTCCTGCATAGATTTAGAATTTTTAAAAATCCAATGTTGAGTTGCCCATGTTTCTGCACCAACTATAGACATTTCTTTAATAAAATATTTATTGTTTGCTCCAAGAACGCATTGCATGTCTAAGATGGCTGAAGACATTATGACTTGTTTTTATAATATGCTTCTTCAACGGTATTGATGCGGTTTATTAAAGCAGGAAATATTTTTTTTAACCCGTCGGTATTTTCTCTTATATTTTGTAATGAAGTTTCAATTTCACTCATATGTTGCACTATATTTACACACGTTAATTGTAAGTTTTCTGTCTGTTCTTCTAACACATGAATAGTTTTGTTATTTTGTTCGAGTAAATGTTCGATTTGATCAAATTTATTTATATACGTTTTAAAAGACTGTTCGATTTTATCAATTTTATTTGTACATGTTTTAAAAGACTGTTCGATATTTGCAATAATGTTTTTAGTATCACCAGCTTGTGAACTACCAAACACGTTCATAGTTATAAAACGACTGACACTATTTTTTAACATCACGTGTATTTATCCAACTATTATGTGCGTTATCAAATCCAAGCCACTTGACGTATATCTGTTCACCCCTCCTACGTACAACTTTTTCAATCAAATACTCGTTTGGGAAATTAGTTTTAAATATTTCTTCAGAATAAAAACAACCCGCAATAGGCTTGCCCATATAATCTTGTAACTGATAAGTAACAGGTAATGTTTCATTTATTTTGATAATCTTGAATATTTCCGTGGACCAGTTTGGTAGATAACCTTTTGTAAACACGCCTTTTTGTGTACTGATACGAACGTTATCACCAACATTAAATTTAATTTTTACATTATTAATTTCACGGTATTTTATTTCCACAGACTCGGGGTTGGCATCGTCCTGCATTGGTGTCATTCCTATAGTTCTATGTCGTGAATTGTTATATTCTTCAAGCAGCTTAGGTAAAATAGAAATCCACTCGTAAGAACCACGTGCGGTGAACTCCCTAAACATTTTTTCCTTCAGTGTCCTATTAAACCTTTCCACAATACAAGCTTTTAAAATACTAAATGTTGAATATTTGTGTATGTCATACTTGGTCATCAATACGTCGAAAGTAGTGTTATAAAATTCTTTTCCGTTATCGACTTGTAAAAGTTTTGGTGAGCCTTCACGCAATATTTTGGACATTGCACCAGTGACTTCTTTACCAGTTTTAGACTTTAATGACAATGCCCAGGCTCGTTTTGTAAAACAGTCAATTACCGCCAGAATGTACTTGTAATTTTTATTTTTTTTTGAATGCGGAATCATTTCGACCAAGTCGGCTTGCCATAAATCATTTTTTCCATACACGTTAACTCTACGTCTAATGAAATTTTTCCTCGCTGGCTTGTGAAGTTCGATAGCAATTTCCCGTTTAGACATTAGGAACTCGCTTAATTAGTCCGGACTCACGTAATTCGTCGAAAATCGATATTATTTCGTTTGAAACACTTGTATTACCAGCTGCTTTTGACGCGATTAGTAGACGTAATCGATCGACTAACTCGTTTGGATTGTCCCAATATACTAAGTTATTTTTCTGCAATTTCATAAACAGTTCACCGCCCGAGGGGAATAATTTTCTTATAACCGTCAAATATTTAGAGCCGACTCTTTTTATTTTTTTTCCATTTGTAGATAAATGCGCTGATGATTGAATTAATATAGATTTATATATCTCTAAATCAGTATCAGTATAACTGAGTGGATTTTTCAAAAATAATAACTGAATAACACCTGAGGTTGATGGATAAGTAATACCGTCAATAAGTATAGCGTCATCGAAAAATTTTACTTCTGTACCACCCAAGATAATATTTCCGTTTGAACGTTTTTTTGGGCCATAGATTTTGTCTAAATCTGTAGATTGAAACCAATTTTCAATTTCTTGTTGATGTTCGAACGAGTTTTTCGACTTGACGTTAATATTTTTTTCGGTTGAAGTCAGTTGCGATTTTTTTGATATTTCAGTTAAAGGATCAATAATAGGTTTTAATGTCTGTGTCATTAGTTGCTGAACATTATCAGAACCAGTTTTTAATGCAATGTATTTACGTTTTATACTTTCCTTAGCTTTAAACAGCTCATCTAATATATTACCTGCCTCAGTCATGACTGCCTTTTAAATGATAATATTTATTTTTTACACCGTCTTATATAACCACATAAGTATCAAATCCAAATCTATAACGACCGTTATCACGGTCACTGTCTTTACAAATAACAACAAAGGCAAACCTGTCACGGTTCCAACACGTCACACAAAATTGTTTAAACTGAATATAAGACATATCGCCCGAACAGTGTTCGTTGTATACGTGTTTTAAATTGGTTTCATCTTGTTTGAATAAAACTATTAAATTTGCATTATCACGTATCAACTGTTTAGGTACTTTTGAATAACTCTGAGCCAGATAAAATATATCTATTTTATTGTGACGACCTCGAGAAAAATATTCCCTAATTACGAACTGATGTTCACCGATAACATCATCCATGATAAAAATAGAATTTGGTAAAACTTTTTCGGGTGGAATAACTTTATCATTCTCAAAAAAAGTAAAAATGTTAACACCATCAATTCCGTCAATAATACGTTTTAATAACGTATATTTTGGTTGTTCTAGCGTCTTAGAGTATATGTAAACATTTTCAAAACGTAACCCGTTTTCGTCGACGAGTAAAAAATATATCAGATTAGTTTTTCCACCCCCAGAACTTGCAAGCACTAACGAGCGTATCGTACTTGGGAAAAGCTCACCATGACGCAGCTGAATTGTGTCGGGGGTGTCAATGTTATAAATTCGAAGTTTTTTCTCTTGCTCGATAAAGCGCATTTTTCCTACTATAAATACAGATGACAAAACAATGAAAGCGTCACACGATGTCTCGCGTTCGTAAGCGGAACAACAATAAGGGTTCTGGTCTTATCAACTCCGTTATAAATCATTTACCCTTGGAATTACATTTACCCGGTTATAGGTAAGTCACTACATTATATTATTTTAATAAAACTACTAATACATTTTATATGTGTGTTTCTAGATTTGCCGGTCCTGGAACCAAATTAAAAGAAAGATTAGCACGTGGAGAACGTGGAATAAACAGACTTGACGAATTGGCTAGAGCTCACGATATTGCATACGACGAAAGTAATTCACTCACTGATAGACACAGAGCAGACAAAACATTAGAAAATCAGGCGTGGGAGGTGTTCAAGTCTAAAAACACCGGTATTAAAGAAAAAGCTGCGTCTTGGTTGGTCACCACAGCTATGAAGGCAAAGCGTAAGCTTGGGGCCGGATGTGGTTTTAAACAAATGGTTTCAGCGGCTAAAAAAGCAATCAAGAATAAAGCGAATGAAAAGAATATAACTAAATTAGTAAGGACTTGTCTGACAGCTGCAAAAAAATCGAAAAATTCTAAAACTCCAAGAATTATTCCCATACCGAAAAAGGGTGGTGTTTTACCTTTAATACCTATTTTTGCTGGTTTATCAGCGTTATGCTGAGGCCACACAGAACGCTATGCGTGCTATGTTCGCGATGTTCGCTATACGAATAAAAAATAGTTTTCGATCTTGAAAACGTAAATGGCCACAAAGAATGGTGTACGCTACGTTTTGTTCTTAGCTACGTTGCGACGCGTCGCCGAGTGTTTGATTTGTGGCTATATTTTTGAGCGATGTGTCGCGACGTGCAACGTGCTGGTTTCGACAGGCATGTTCATTGCTAGTACCGATATCGGAAATTTAATATAGAGTGTCCTGCAACGAGCAATCGATTATAATATTATTCACGCAGTTATAATTTAGAATTCAAATAGAACCAGCGGTTTTTTGAAAAAAACAAAATATAAATAAATCATATTTAATTAATTTTCGTGAGTACTACGTCATTTATTTTGAAGTGATGTTACTAGAACAGCTAATAGAGGAAGTACGCAGGTATCCTTGTCTCTGGAAGAAAAATCTGGACGAATATCGAAACCAGAACATACGTGACAATGCATGGGTCAACATTTCAAAAGAATTGAAAAAGCCAGGTAGATAACATGTATTTACTATTTTATAATGTATTTATAAAAATGTATGATTAAGTATTCAAATGTAAAATTGTAATATACAATATACATTAGTACAATAGTAGAATATAATTAATATAATATAGTAATTTAATCATAATAATAGTAATTGAATAGTTTATAACTATTTTAAGCTGTACGATTTACAATTCTTTGCTGCCATTCAACGCGCCCTTCATTGGAAATAAAATATTCTTTGAAAAAATTTCGGACATTTAAAGCTTCTCTACTTGAATTCGATGAGGTACCAATTCGTATTGGTATGAACACGTTAGTTTCGTTGGTTTGTTCTTCAACAGTCGCTAGATTGGTTTGAGTAGTTAATTGACGTGTGTAATTGTGGAGAACAACAGTAGCTAAAATGACTTTATCTGCGAGTTCAATTCGACATTCTAATGGGCTATGATATACTCTCCAAGTGTTTGCAAGGATACCAAAAGTATTTTCCACAGTATTTCTGCTTCTTGAGAGCCTGTAGTTGAAAATACGTTCATCCTCGCTAAGTCGCCGGGCACTTCTGGGATAAGGTCTCATGAGATATTTTTTAAGAGGAAATGCCTCGTCACCAACTATTACATAGGGTAAATTTCTTCCTGCTAAATCTTCATCTGGGGATAAAAAAATATTTAAGCTTGTTAAACGCTTTCCAATAGTGCTGTTACTATACACACTTGCATCACTAACTCTTCCATATTGCCCAACATCAACACAAATGAATTTTTTATTTCCATCTACTAGTGCTAGCAAAACGACCGAGTGATATTTTTTATAGTTGAAAAATTCTGAACCTTTATGAGCCGGCGCCTTAATACGAAAATGCTTCCCATCGATTGCAGCAACACAATGAGGGAAGTTCCATTTTTCTTTAAACACTTTTTCTGAAGCTCTCCATATTTCTTCATTAGGATCAGGCATTACGATAGGCTGAAGGTTTTTCCATAGGGCTTCGCAGACTTCTTCAACTATGTTACTTATTGTAGACCTGCCCATGCGATAATTGAAAGCTAATGACCGAAATGAATTTCCAGTGGCTAGAAACCTAAGAATAAAATAAACAAAAAACTAAAATTTATATTTATATTTGGTTTAGTGGATGAACTGAAAGGTGAATGGAAAAAGCTACAGGATTCTCACAGACAAGCTACATTAAGAAGGAAGGCAAAAAGTGGACAGGCTGCTAAGAAAATGAAACCTTGGAAATACGAAGAAGTTATGTCTTTTCTTTTATCCGAGTCAACTCCACGTGAGTAAGTATTATAACTTGTAAATTGTCCTCAGTTCTTTGACCGTAGACACTGTAGACACTTACTACAGTATTATTATTTTTTTTACAGAACTTACACTAACGTCAATAATTATGATGGCGATGATACTGTCGCGGACTTGACAGATGAAGAAAATCAAATAATTGAAGAACATAGCCAAAATGAAGAAAACGTGGAATTAACATTGTCAAATAATATAGAAAGTGAAACTCAAAAGAAGAAACATAATTTTGCTGCAAGCAAAAAGAATGTAGGCAAAGAAAGTGATGTTGACAAGATAATATCATTCATTGGAAACAAAAATCAAGTGAAAAAACAGCCAGGAGAACTAGATTTTTTCTTTGCTAGTGCATGTGAGAGTACAAAACGACTTCCTCGACGTTTGCAACTGAGAATTAAGCAAGACGTTATGCAGGCAATTATAAATGCAGAAACTGAGTTCTTGGACCAACCGTCTGCTACTCCAACATCCTCTATCGTCAGTACTGAAACACCTGGTCGTGGCACAGTGGTTAGGTTAGACACACCTTCACCGGTAAGTCAAATAATACCTGCTCCTAGTCAGACATTCTTTCACCCATCAACTTCAAATCAAGTACAAGAAAGTGCATCGAATGTGATGTATAACAACGCGAATTTTTGTGGTGACTCGCAACAAAAGAGTTACTATTTAATTTAATTGATTCAAGATTGGGCTCAAGTATTATAATAATTATTACCATAAACTTAATTACTAATTAATTATTATTATAAGGCTACCTATTAAAAATTAAAAGTATTATTATTTTAAAAAGTGTTAAATTACTTACCTTAAACAAACGGCTAATCGTTCCTCGGCTGTAATACTTTCCCTGAGATTTAATTACTTTTTCTCGATGTCCTTTTTAATAATTGATAAAAGTTGATCAAATTGTTTCATACTCATACGAAAATATTCTTTAAATTTTAATTCGTCTTTTCGTATTTGTTTTAAAAGATGATGAAATTCACCAAACTTTTTACGTTCCATGTTTACTTCATGGACCCATTTCCTTTTTTGTTTATTATTATTATTTAACGAAAATAATAACAAAGCTTCATCATCACTACTATCACTTTCCCAAGGCAACCTACTTGACAACATCTTGAACATGACTGATAACTGTTCAGTGTTTCAGACTCGTAGTAAATATCGTACGTAGTATACGTAGCATTGCTCTGTATTGCCACACCATATAGTGAACATAGCGTACAAAGCAAACATAGTATAAATAGCATACGTAGCGTAGCGTTCTGTGTGGCCTCAGCATTAGGCGCACTCACCGGAGGTGTTGGTAATATAGTGAAAGTTGTGAAAGAATTAAATTCTGGTAAAAACACACCTATTAATTTAGGAAAAGGCTTATATCTTACACCTCACAAGGGGAGTTCTTATAAAATTGTAAAAGGCAAAGGATTATACCTAGCGCCATACAAGGGCGGATCAGTTAAGTCAAAAAACTAATTTCCACGTTACCCGACAGAGCGCTGTTCGATTATGAGATTATAAAGTACGCATACATGTTGAGAATACCACATTTCATTGGTGTATTTTCTAGAGACAGGTTGCCCCTACGGCCAAATAATCAAGAGTCTGCTGTAGTTCTGTAGTTAATTTAGACATAGAAAACGGAACAGGTACTCATTGGGTAGCGTATAAGAAAATCGGAAAAAAAGTTAAATATTAAGACAGTTTTGGTAACTTGTCACCTCCACTAGAATTACAGAAATATTTCAACGGGTGTAATATCGAATATAATTACGATAGATATCAAAAATATAATACAACAAACTGCGGACACTTGTGATTAAAATTTTTATCATGTATACTATAACGTTAACCGGAAACTCAAGCGAATTGTCATGTGACATTTTCCCGCCGATAGAAGTCGGTAAAAATGCCAAAATCGGATTGTTGGGTTTTCAAACGAATAATTCTATTCCAAATATTAACGACAAGTGTAATAAAATAGGATTCGTGTATAAGAGCAAAGCGAATCTTTTAATCAGTGAATTATATTCATTACCTACAGGCTCGTATGAGTTGAATGAAATTGAGACAGTAATAAATCATTTATTATCCGAATGTGGGGGAACGTTTGAGTTGAAGGCCAACACTAACACATTAAAATGTGAAATGTCATGTAACTTAATTATAGATTTAACTATGCCTTATAGCATAGGACAGTTGTTGGGTTTTAAAAATCGAATATATGATGCGAATGTCAGATATGAGTCAGATGCATTGGTCAATATTACCAAAACAAACTGTATATATATCGAATCAAACCTAGTTATGGGTTCATTCATCAACGGTAAGCAGTGTCATACAATACATGAGTTTTATCCGAATGTTCCTCCAGGTTATAAAATAATTGAGGTACCAACACATTTGGTATTTTATCCTCTTAATTCTACATCAATAACGCGAGCGTGTATAGTTTTAAAAAATCAAGACAACGAGGTGATCGATTTACGAGGCGAGCCAGTATCAATACGATTATTAATTCAAGACTTGTAGTATGGGACTGCAATTTTATAATATAAATACGTATGCATATGAAAAACCCGTTAGTCGTGTTCATAACACTAACAAGTTAACATCTCTAAAGAAAAAAACAAAAAAGAAACGAAAACAAGTTGGTCTAACATCTGACAATTTAGCGTTTCTACGATCGCTAAAGGCTATTTAATATGGATGACACTTATTTAAATGTCAAAGCTGGTTACGTGGATGATTGTAGAATAACTCAAATTGAATATCATTCTTTTTTACCTTATTCGACATCCGCTCTTTCCAATAACGATGAGGTGCGTATTGCTTTACATAACACAGAGTCTTATACTTTACCGTGTGAGAGTAATATTTACATCGAGGGGACAATAACCAAACCTGCAGAAATATCTGACGAAATCAGATTTATAAACAATGGACTGTCATTTCTTTTCTCTGAAATGAAATATGAAATAAACGGCAATCAAATTCAAAAACTCGTTAATCCGGGTATATCGACTACATTAAAAGGATATTGTTCATATAATAAAACAAATATTACTTCACACTACAACTCTGCTTGGGATAGTGATATTAAAAATGTTAATAAGGATTTTATTGACAGTGGTAATTTTAACGGATGTATTAATCTCAAAGATCTGTTTGGTTTTTGTGAAGATTATAAACGTATTTTAATAAACTGCAACCAACAACTCGTATTAAATAGAGCCTCGATCGATATTAATGCTATAAAACAGTTTAAAAATAACGAAGTTGTCGTAGACGCTCCTAAACTAAAAAACGTTAAAATAAACATAACAAAAATATTATGGCGAATGCCTATAGTGAAAGTGAGTGATAGAGAAAAAATTAAACTGTTGAAAGTAATCAACAATCAAAAACCCCTAACATGTGCGTTTAGATCGTGGGAACTGTGTGAATATCCATTTTTACCCCAAAACACTTCGCATTCATGGAAAGTAAAGACATCAAACAAATTAGAAAAACCTAGATATGTTATCATTGGATTTCAAACTGATAGGAAAAATAGTTCGAGTAAAGCAATGTCATATTTCGATCATTGTAAAATTAAAAACTTGAAGGTCTATTTAAACTCTGAAGTATTTCCCTATGAAGATTTTCAAAGCGACTTTACCAAAAATAAGATGGCGACATTATATCGCGCATATACCGAGTTCCAAAAATCTTACTACGGACATGACGAAGTGACTCCTCTATTGAATCGATCGGATTTCAAAAATCTATCACCGATTATAGTTGTTGACATGAGTCGACAAAACGACAACGTGAAAATGTCAACTGTGGACCTCAGAATTGAACTTGAAGCCAACGAAGCGTTTCCAGCTTCAACTTCAGCATATTGTTTAATATTACATGACCAAATTATAACTTATAATCCTTTTAATGGAGAAGTAAGAACCTTGTAAATATTTAATGTATACCTTAATATTAATAAATGAAAATACTTTTTTATATATCATGTTTTTTTTTTATTATTTTACATAAATTAATTATTCACATCAAAAAATGTTAGAATAGTCTGCGTTTTTCTTTACGCAACGGTGTTGGGTGATGAGCGTATGTTGAATGCGAGCGTTTGCGAAATGGCGCTGTAGGTTCAATGAAAGTTGCTTGAGACGATGGTGGTGTTCTTAACATATATGGTGAAAGTGACCTGGATCGATTGTAAAAATCTGGCCCGTCATTTTCGTCCACCGATTGCGGACTGAGAATCTCGTCTGCGGGTATCAGTGGTCCATCAATTTGATCAAACACCTGAATAAAATAAATATTAATTTTGCATAAAAAATATGTATTTTATAAATTACCTTAGATAAAGTAACATACACCGAATGATCAAATCCATCACGTGCAGATGAATCGTCATATAAGTTGAAAGTTGAAGGAGAATAGCTTGGTGACATTACTGTCAGGCTTTTAAAATTCATGTCATGTGGCTAAAATAAAAAGTATTAAATATTTTATATAACAAGTAATAATTTATTTCTGAATTACCTCTGGAGAGTTTTGTGTCTTCAAACGGGCCATACAAAGTTCAGCTAATTGTGTAGGTGCACATAATTTGATTTGATTGATGAACTGATTTTGACTGGACTGTCTGACTTCCACGTTATTAATGAAAATGTACATTTCATGCACATTTTCAGGCCGTGAATCCAATTGGGGCATTTTTTCGAGTAAAATATACTCAGAATATTGATTCATTTGATCCACAATTTTAGGTTTAATGTATATATCTTTTTCTTGTATGCTTGAATAAATACTCCATTCTAATTTCTGAAGCTGTATCAGATCTCCACGATTCAATAGTACCCTACATCCGTCTTCAGTCTTAGATTCAATGACTAATACGTTTTCTCTAATGTATACCATACTCGATAATTTATACGAATCGTTCTCTATGAATATGGTTCGTTTATATGACTGAGGGGTGTCTACTGTCTAGTATAAAAAACAAGATATGCCCCATAAACGAGAATATTTTTTTCATAAAATCCGAAGTAATATACACGTAACGTGAAGAAGTCAATATATGAACAACAGTTTTGAAATTTGATGATGGATCAATACCGATATGTATAAACTTACGGGCCGCAAAGTCGAGTGTGTAACTTGTTGATTCAATTAGAGCAGTAGGTGGTGATGGTGGAATATAAGTAAATGTCTTCTTCTTGTACAACGCAACGTTGTCTTCGATTGATCCAGCCATGTTTTTATCACAAACACTTGGTTTTAAAATAATAAACGATAAAAAATTTTAAAGACTTGGAAAAAATAAAAACACTAACGAGATATAAAAATGTACGTGGAGTATAGCATAAGACTGTGAACACACTGAATGAATGTCCGCTCTTCCAGTGGCCAAGCGTCCAACGATTTGAGTCATTATTTGGTGGGGGTGCATACATCATTGAAAATAGAATGGGGGAAAATGAATAACAACACCTGCCAATGTTCGTGATGGGTGGTCAAAATTTAAGGGTTGTGAATCTAAAAGGTTTTTCCATACATATGCAGACTCAACCCTTGATGAAGAATGTTATTGTTATAGTTAAATAACATCACCTGCCGTATAACGTGATGGAGGGACAAAATTTAAGTAATATAATCCTAAACATGTACAGTCTCAATACTTGTTGAGCAGTGCCGCAATAACCGGGTGTGTTGCGTGTGTCAAACACACGGGCCCAGGGCCCCAACACATAATGGGGGGCCCAATGATAAAAATTTAAAAATATATAGAAAGAAATAAAACAAAATAATTTTGTAATAATAATTATAATTATTCATACAGATTGAACAATAGATCGGTTCATTAACGAACATTATCGTACATTATTATTATTATTATCATCATACGTTTCTTATGCGGCCTGTATAACCGAAATTAAAAATAGTTTGGTTGCAACTGATTAAAGCGCGTCATGCAAAGTAACGCGCATTTTGACTGGTTTAGTGTGTGTGTTTACGCGTCTCAATTTATTATTGGTGTCTATTTTTGTTATGCGGGAATCGCCTTTCGTCATGCGGGAAAAACGAGACCGGGCTCGATTTTATATTGCACGTTCTAAAGACGGTATCTTCTACGGTCGTCGGTCGGTGTTTGTAGTCTGTCAACAAGATAATATCCATTTTGTTTACATCTGTGAAAACTTAGTTGCGACTTACGATATTGATTTGAATAATTAAAATTATAAAATAATAATTATATGATTGCCTACATAATTAACTTTTTTAATCGAATGCTCTGACTTCTGATACCTTCTACAATAAATTATGGCACCGAAAGCTCTAAGTGGAGCAGCCAAAAGAAAAAAGAAACATCAACAACAGTGTAATATTTTAAAAACAAATAAGAAGATTAATAATTTTTTTGAATGCAGTCAGTTTAATGATGGTAAGTACAAAATTATTTTATGAATATAATATATTGTTGACCATTAAGGTATTAAATTAGAGATGACTGAAATGTTGTTATTTAACCTATTGATTAACAACTTGACTGCCATAGTAGTATAGTACCTAATACCTATCATGGCCCATTAGATCTCACAGGATTTAAACTCTCTGCTACTAGTTTTTCAAAAAACTTTCATTGATTTTTTAACTTCAAAAATGTACACATGCAATGTTAGCACATAAATGTAGAATTTTTCATTGGCTTTTGTATTTATAATTCATGTGAATCTGTTAGGGTCTCATAGCACAGTAAATTAATATTTTGGTTATTATCAAAATATATATTAAATATGGGTTCCAGATGAAATCTCAAAACAATTCTTTACCTATTTAAAATATAACCATATGCATTTACAAATTTAACCATTAAAAATTAAAATCATGACTAAAGTTAAAGGTGTTATAACAAACATTTTATTTCAGTATTAACATCAATCAATGTGGTTTATAATAAAAAAATATTATTATCAATATTAAAACTTAAAAAAAACAATGAGGATTATACCTATAACAATATTAAAATAATTGTAGATAGGTATATTGTTTGATATAGTCTTATAAAATATTGGTATAGAAAAAGTTTGGTTATCAAGCAGTCACAGTTTTCAAAAAAAACTTTGGCAGCCAAATTCTTTTCAAATTCTATGATTAATCATTATACCTACTTAATATGTAATATAATAAATAAAACAATAATAACATATTTAATTTTGTTTTTATAGTTGTGGAATGTGATGTAGAATTTAAAAGTGCTGGACAAATATCTGAAAATGATCTGAAAAGTATTTCAGATTCAAAACAAGATGGACACGACATAAATAATACAACTGAGAATGAGAATAATAACTCTCCTGATGTTAGCACTTCTACAGGTATACACTAGCTCAAAATTTGATTTTTGAAATTTAATGCGTACATATTATATTAATAGTATTTCAGTGTTGTAAAATATTTTTAATACCTACCTAATGTTTTTGATTTAAAAACTTCTGTTTTATTCTATACTATAATTAATATGAACACATTTTAATAGTTTTAATTTTGATTTTTTTTGTAAACACAAATTTATTATCTTTGTATTGGGTATGCTTTATTAAAAATTATAGATTTGAATAGTATGCTGAATCTCCAAGATGATTTTCCTACAGACATAGCCAAATTTCCATGGACTATTACTGATTCAAATTTAATAAGAAGTTTGCTATTATATGGACCCTGTAAGCCAGATACTAACTTTCCAGTAAACACTAATGGTAAACGTTTTTCATCTAGTTATTATTTTTTAACAACTAAATCTGGTACAAAAATTCCAAGAACTTGGCTATGTTATTCTTATAACTTAGACTGCGTGTATTGCGAATCATGTTGGCTGTTTGCTGATAGATCTTATAGCAAATTTAAGTGGGATTGGATATATGGTATCAATGATTGGAATCACTTGTCACAAAGTATTCAAAGACATGAATCATCTATTCAACATTTGGATGCTGCCAAAGTTCGGTCCATTTGGATTAAAAATGAAACCATTGACGCTAGTTTAGAAAAACAATATACTGACGAAGCAATGAAATGGAGGAAAGTATTGAAAAGGTTGATAAAAATTATACTTTCCATAACAGCAGGAAATTGTGCTTTAAGAGGAAATGAAGGAAGCCTTAAAATTAAGAATGCCACCGAAGGAAACTTTTTAAGAACAGTTCGATTACTCGCAGAGTTTGATCCTATTCTAAATAGTATTTTACATGACGAAAATCAAAAAATTAAGTATCTAAGTTGGTCTGTTCAGAATGAGTTGTTAGACATTTTATCTACAGAGTTACGTCATTTAATTTGTAATAATATACGATCTAGTAGTTTCTTTTCTGTTATATTAGACTCTACTCAAGACATAACCAAACAAGACCAAGTTAGTCTTGTAATTCGTTATACCACATTAGATTTTGAAAAGAAACAAATACAAATTAAAGAGTCATTTCTTGGTTTTTATTTACTATCCCATCATGGTGCAGCAAATTATGTGGAACTTTTACAAAATACTTTAATGAAATTGGATTTAAATATTATGAAATGTCGGGGTCAAGGGTACGATGGGGCAGCAGTGATGAGTGGTTCAATAACAGGTGTTCAAAAACGAATTTGTGATATTGTGCCCAACGCTACGTTTGTTCATTGCTGTTCCCATAATATAAATTTAGTTTTATGTGATGCTGCTAAAAGTTCAAGGAAAATACAATCATTTTTTGATAGTGTGCAAGACATTTATAATTTTTTTAGCTCGAGTTCACCAAGATGGGCTCAGCTAGCCTTTGGTGAAGAGTACGGGATGAAAATAAATAAAATAACTTTAAAAAAAGTGTGTCCTACTCGGTGGGAAGCAAGACATAATGCTTTATTTTCATTAAAACATAGGTTTGTTGATGTTTTAAAAGCTCTTTCTAATATCCAGCTTTCAAGTTCCAAAAAAGATGAAATAAATATGGCTACAACTTAAAAAAAAAAATGGAAAATGCTGAATTTGTAATTATCCTATGTATATGGGAACCCATTTTAAAATCTTTACAAGTGGCCTCAAAGAGTATGCAATCAGTAAATTTAAGCTTACAAAGAGCATCAACACAATTAGAAAGTGCTATTTTAATTATAGAAAAGTTGCGGAATCAATATGACCAAATATTAGAAGATTCAAGAAATTTGTGTATGAAGTGAAATATACCCTTCAAGTTAAGTGAAACACGTCAAAGATATGCTAAAAAATATTTTGATGAAGTAGACAGTGATCGCCGACTTACTACAACTGATGATAATTTTAGAGTTACTATCTTTTACCCAGTTGTAGATACAGTACTATTACAGTTAAGAGTTAGATTTAAAGGAATGAAAACTGTGTGTGATGATTTTAATATATTAATGCCTGAAATATTAACGTCAATGGCTGATGAATTGATTGTTCAGTCATCATATGACTTTATTACCAAATATAAAGAAGATATCAGTTCTGACTTCACTCGTCAACTTATTATAATCAAGGGCTATTTATCTTCCAAATATCAAACCGATCATTTAATAAATATGTCAATTCATGATTTAGCTGATACTATTGTCAAGGAAGATTTGACATCAATATTTCCTGATGTATTTATTGGTATTATAATTTTTTTAACTATACCAGTGACTTCTGCCTCAGCTGAGAGATCTTTTTCAAAGCTTAAACTTATCAAAAACTACTTAAGGAACTCAATCGGCCAAGAAAGACTTTCAAGTATAGCTTTGCTTAATATTGAAAAACAACAAACAAATGATATTAACATTGAAAATATAATAGACAATTTTGCTAACAAAAAAGCAAGACAAATGAATTTTTTAAAGTGATGATATATTTATTTTTTTGTAAATAAATTACCTACATTTTTTAATTATGTTTACCTTATTTTGTATAAGTATTGATTATTGAGTAATAAATCAAAATTCAAAGTATGTTTTAAAATTTGGAAAAATTAATTTTACAATAGTGAATAAGTCTATTTTCAAGCGGGGGGGGGGGGGGGGCATCCATTTTATTTACACACGGGCCCAAAATGGTGTAGTTGCGGCACTGTTGTTGAGGAATGTTATTGTCAGCAATAGTTAGGGTTTGTCGAGACACACACGTCGTTGAATGTATATTCATAAAGATTGTACAAGTATATTATTCTTAAATGTATTACAAATAAGTACATGTTGCCGGTGTAGCATACATTCATGATACACAAATGTATCGACTAGCTATTACATCGACAGGTGTGTGTAACTTAATGATATGTAATTTGTTGCACGCGCATGCGTACGTTTCCCCGTGTTGTTGTTGTATATAATAATAATAATATATTCCTGATTAATATTTTTATAAGTATCAGATATTCGTATAGCTATATATTATGTTAGGAATCATATGTTTGGTATAATGGCTTTGTGGCCTAGTTGGTTAAGGCACCAGAATGTAAGACGGAGATCGAGAGTTCGAATCTCTCCAAAGCCTTTTTTCATTATTTATTAATCTAAATAATGGACCCAATAATAATATTATGGTGTGTGTACAATAATTTAGTACATGTACAATAATATGGTACATGTACGGTAATATGTTGCGTGTACGATAATATGATATGTCCGTCACGTGACCGACCGGACAATCTATGCGTGGTTGCTGTGGTAGGCGAAGGAAGAGGTGGTGGGGTTTACGAATAAAATATATGTTGTCACATGCGCGTGCGTGCATAGTTACCCCATGCGCAGGCGCGAAGAAATATAAAAATATATGTTGGTTACGTTGGCGATCGTCGGCGGCGGCGGCGCGGGTGGTGTGGGAAGTAGTGGGGGTAAATATACGTCACACACGTAAGCGATCGGGCGGCGCGGTATGACGAGGACGAGCAATGACGAGCAACGACGAGGACGATTTCAGGAAGCCCCCAAATTATACTACTAAGAAAGTTTAAATTTATGTTATCAATTCAAAATACTGAAGACAGTATTTATTTTATTATTAACTATACCTATAATACAATTTGTTATAATTTTTTACCAAGGGAGGTCTCTTATTATTAATATTTCATATTAAATTTGTTCTGTTTTGTTATAATCATAATAAATTATTAATAAACATTTAATATTATTTTCTTCATTTACAGCTGCTACCCACATTATTGTAGTTAAGTATTCCAAAAACATTGTGATACATAAAATATAAAAAAAATGTTGGTAATGGTTAATGATGTACCTACCAAGTGTGGAACAAATACAAAATGTTTATAATCATTAATACTGTATGGTGTGCCAAATATGGCACACCCAAAAATATTGATAAGTGACTATTATGCATAGTGTACCAAATATGGCACATAAAAAAGTACTGATAAGTGATTATTATGCATGATGTGCCATATTTGGAACACAATAAACTTTACCTTATAACTTCTAAACTTTGAACTTGAAATTTTTTTTATTATTTTTCCCATAATCAGGGAAAAATTTGAATGAAGTAGATTTTTTTCCAGTCAAAAATAAAAAATCATGCAGAAATATAACTATTATTTCAATAGGACTGAAAGTAATTTTCCCGAGAGTGAAACAGAAGAAGATACCGAAGTTGAATCGGAAGTACTAAAAAATGTGGATGATCCTGATGTCAGTATAATCGACTCGGAAGTAGAGACACCAAAATCCCAAAAACGAAAGTTATTCAAAAAACCAAAAATTTCTTTTGAAGATAACTTATTAAAGTTGTTGGAAGCTAGAAAAGTTGAAGATCCAGTACCTTCTTTTCTTATGTTGTTGGCGCCACAAATCAAATTGTTAAATCAAGAAAAACAAAATCAAATTTTTATCGAATTCTTGCAGGTTGTACAAAAAGTTTCTTCCACAAGTCCTAACCAAAATACACACATTTCTCCGACAGTAAATAATGTTAACTCCTGGTCCATACAACCTCCCATCTCAAATTTCTGTGACCGTTCTTATGACGTATATTTGACTGCAATAATCCATCGTCCTAATCATGTCAACATAACACCGCCTTCATCACCATCAACTCCATTAGGACTAGGTGCTTACCAATCGGCATCAGCTGCTGCCATGCCTCAGTACTATAATCCAAATTCAACTCAAACAGTAACTGCTCCTGTTTCTCCATCGACAACACTCTTCACTTATTCAAGCCTGAATACTGACGAATACGAAAACAGTAAATAGAATGTAAACTTCTGTATGTTTTTTTTTATATTTGAATTGTTTATAAGCTTTTAAACTTTATTTTTTTTATTACAGCACTAAAGTTGAGTTGACTTTTTATTATTTTTGTAAATATTTATTATAATATTTATTTACCGCAAAGTGATTGTCAGTCGTTCTTCTGTACAAATTGGAATGCGCAAATGTGTCACTTGTTTTGATAGACATAGTCTAACCAGTGAAATCTTAAAAAATTAAAATTATTACATATTTTATCCGATTTATTGTAATCCAAACGTAAAAATATTAACATATTATAGTATTATATTATCTGTTTAGTGCCACAACTACAATTTTGAAGCCCAGGTGCGAGCTAATTTTAGGGCCCTTTTATCGTCAGTAGTGTCTAAATTTTGGGTCGGTGATTAATTAATGAGCTAAGATTAGATGTGTGGGGGGGGTGCTTTCTTATTTTGCTGTAATTCAAAAATGAATAACTGTAAATTCTTGAAATTTACTACAAATATTAATTTTATTATTTTTTATATTTGTTAAATTTTCCAAATATTTTAACTCGTTACAAGTTGTTTACGGGTATTTTCAGCTGTCGATTTTTGAATTTTTCTATTTTTTTATTCCATAAATGTCAATAAAATTGGATTCATTGGGTCAAAATGCTTGACAATTTAGTACTAGGCTCATCAGTTCTCACACATTGTTAAAATATCAGTTTAAAAATATTTATTAAGATTTTTTTTATAAGTATTTTTGAATTTTGACAAAATGTATCATATTATTAAAAATTTACAAATTATTTTTCAGTCAAATATTTATAAATGAATGTTCAATTTTTATATATAAGGATTAAAGATTTAAAATAAGGATCCACGTAAGTAGCCCACACTGTAACCAAACAATTATGGCTATACTCTAGGTATATATTTATTTTGAAACACGCCAAATTCAAAATTATTACATTCTTATATTTGTTTCACAATTGTTTATATATATGTATAGTAAACTCTGAGGTCTTGGATTCATACATTTTTAAGGTCCATCCGGCGGTGCACCGCCTGCACCTGAAGTAGTTGCGGCACTGGTCATTTCTTATTTATAAATATTCAATCATTATATATTTCCTTACTAACTCATCAAACGATGTTACAGGCATCCTGAAGTATTAAAAAAATTCTTCAGAATGAGCCCTTAGTGTCATGAAGTTCACTTGAAACTGACCTTCTTTAATCCTTTTCATGTTCATCGGATGTACCCAATATCTCCTTTTGGATCTTTCCTTTTTTGCAGCTTCATTACGTTTTTGTAAACATATGCTACAGCTATGGCTTCAACGTCGTTTAATAAATCCATTATAGGTAAAATACTAAAATGTATGTTAACTCTTAACTTGAAAACTAAAATCAAATACAAAGGTCTTACCTCTACCACGTGTTTGACGCAACTGATAATTTGCTTCAACTCGCGTCAATATTCATTTTATTTTATGTAGAATAATTTGACTATTGATAATTATGGCACCAAGAAAAATCACGTGTAGTGTGTAAACAAAACAGCGGATGCGGTTTTAAACCGCCGCGGATAAAAACCGCGCCCGCGCGAGGACAAATCGCTCAGTGTGTAACCAACTTTACTCGTCCGAATTTTCCGTATCCAATGCGGCAATGACAACCACATAGAGAGGTGGATAGGTGACCGACCATTTGAAAAACATGGTGCGACGTTTTCTAATAACGAATAAAGAATACATAAAGGGAGAAAATATAAGTA